CGAGCCTCAATCGCCGTCGACGTCGCGCGCGACGCTGCCGCAAGCGTCGTCGTCGTCGTCGTCCAGGAAGGACCAGAAACCTTAGGAAACAACAAACACCAACAAGCCTAGGAGACAGGGGGGGAACAGCTGGTTGTAATTAAGCTTCAAACACTATGCCTACCATGTCGCAGGGGTAATCGAATGTCCTAGTGCATTTACTGTTGCACTCTCGCAGTCCGCTGCCCGTTATATCAGTGGCGCTTTCGCACGTGGGGCCTGGATCCACCCTGTGGAATCATGCGTGATGATGATGATGATGATGGTTGGGAAGCTGATGCTGCTGCTAATGCCGACGACGACAAAAGGGAGGAGGATGTTGTTCTCGGTGATGATGATCATGATTATAACGATAGCGGTGGTGGTGGTGATGATGATGAACATGATGATGCTTATAATGATGATTCTAAGGTTGATGATGATGATGATGATGATAATGATGATGGTGGCGCTGCTGCTGCTGCCATTGCTGATGATGATACTGGTGGTGAGATGCTGCTGCTGATGACGACGATGCTGGTGTTGACGATGGAGACGATGACTACTACGATGATGCTGATGGTGCTCATGCTGATGCTGATACTGATATTGATGATGAGGATGAGACTGTGTATGAGCAGGGGATGAGGATGATGATGATGAGGATGAGGATGATGAGGATGAGGATGAGGATGAGGATGAGGATGAACATAATGAGGATGATGATGACGATGAGGATGAGGATGGCGATGCTGGTGATCATGTTGAGGCTGCTGATGCTGATGATGCTGATGCTGCTGATGCTGATGATGCTGATGCTGTTGCTGATGATGCTGATGATGAGGATGAGGATGAGGATGAGGATGGTTGTGCTGATGCTGATGCTGGTGCTGATGCTGCTAGTGATGATGATGGGAGCGATGATGCTGCTGATGATGATGATGATGATGATGCTGCCACTTATGATGATGCTGACGATGATGCTGATACTGATGCTGCTGATGATGATGCTTGTAATGCTGATGCTGGTGCTGATGACGATGATGATGCTGATGATGATACTGGTGGTGATGAGGATGACGCCGATGATGATGATTATGCTGCTGCTGATGACGACGATGCTGGTGTTGATGATGGAGACGATGACTACGACGATGATGCTGATGATGCTCATGATGCTCATGATGCTGATGATGCTTCTGCTGATGATGATGATGATGTTGATGATGCGGATGAGGATGCGGATGAGTTGGGGATGAGGACGCTACTGCTGATGATGATGAGGATGAGCATAATGAGGATGAGGATGATGATGATGATTATGATGATGATGATGATGATGATGATGATGATGAACATGGTGCTGAGGATGATGATGACGATGAGGATGAGAGTGAGGATAAGGATGATAATACTGATGTTGATGCGGCTGATGCTGATGATGCTGATGGTGGTGGTGATGCTGCTGATGATGTTGATGTTGATGCTTATGATGATGCTGATGCTGATGATGGATATGATGCTGATGACGATGATGCTGATGCTGCTGCTGCTGATGGTGATGAGGATGAGGATGAGGACGAACAGGATGATGCTGATGATGATGATAACGATGAGGATGAGGATGGCGATGATGATGATCATGTTGATGCTGCTGATGCTGTTGATGCTGATGCTGCTGATTCTGATGCTACTGATGCTACTGATGCTGCTGATGATGCTGATGAGGATGAGGATTGTTGTGGAAAGGCTGGTGCTGCTGCTGACGGTGCTAATGATGATGATGGGAATGACGGTGATGCTGCTGCTGCCGATGATGATGATGATGATGATGATGCTGATGATGATGATGATGATGCTGATGCTGATGATGATGCTGCTGCTGCCGCTTATGATGATGCTGATGATGATGCTGATAATGCTGCTGATGATGATGATGATGCTGGTGATGCTGATGCTGGTACTGATGACGATGGTGATGCTGATGATGATACTGGTGGTGATGAGGATGACGACGATGATGATTATGCTGCTGCTGATGACGACGATGCTGGTGTTGATGGAGACGATGACTACGACGATGATGCTGATGATGCTCATGATGCTGATGATGCTGATGCTGATGATGACGTTTATGATGCGGATGAGGATGCGGATGAGTCGGGGATGAGGATGATAATGCTGATGATGATGAGGATGAGCGGAATGATGATGAGGATGATGATGAACATGATGAGGATGATGATGACGATGAGGATGGGGGTGAGGATAAGGGTGATACTAATGATGTTGATGACGCTGATGCTGATGATGCTGATGATGGTGGTGATGATGCTGCTGATGATGCTGCTAATGCTGCTGCTGATGCTGATGGCGGTTATGATGCTGATGACGATGATGCTGATGCTGCTGATGCTGCTGGTGATGATGAGGATGAGGATGAGGATGCTTGTGGTGATGACTATGCTGTTGCTGATGAGGATGATGATGCCGATGGGCATGATGATGATGATGCTGATGATGATGATGATGATGATGCTGATGCTGATGCTGATGCTGATGCTGATGCTGATGCTGATGCTGATGATGATGCTGCTGACGATGATGGTGATGCTGGTGCTGCTGATGATGATGATGCTGACGATGATAATGGCGATGACGATGGTCATGATGGTGATGATGATGATGCTGATGATGCTGATGATGCTGATGCTGCTGATAATGATGATGCTGATGGTGATGATGCTGCTGATGATGATAATGCTGTTGCTGATGCTGATCCTTCTGATGATGTTGCTGCTGCTGATGATGATGATGATGATGATGATGATGATGATGATGATGCTGATGATGATTGAAGAGGAGGAGGAGGAGTAGGAGTAGGAGTAGGAGGAGGAGGAGGTGGAGGAGGAGGAGGAGGAAGAGGAGGAGGATTATTGAAATGACCAGCGGCGCCCAGGGCCCTGTGCGACGCCCAGGACCGCGCCGCCACCAGTTTTCCAAGCCGAGTCCAGCCGACGATGATGGGCGCCCAGGGATGGGCCGCCCACACGGAACGGACCGAGGGCGTCGGGCCGCAAGGGGCCACCACGGTAGTGTCGCGCCTGAGCCCCCGAGGGGCCCAGCCAGTGGCGTCCGGCCCGCACTGACCCGTTTCGTTGGCGGCGCGCCCGCGCCCACGCCGCGGGTTTCGCCGTGCGTGTGGCGGACACCGCCTCGGCGAACGGCTGCGCGGCCGTCCGTTCCCGTCGAGACCAAGGCGCTCGGTTCTCTCACCGCCTCGGCCCGCTCCTCCACGCGTCGGGTGCAGCCCCTGGCGCACACTTCTCTGGGTGGCGGCATGGCGCTCGCCGGCGACTCCGATGCACGGCTCGCGCAGGCCCACCGCCCTCGGGCCATCGGCGTACCGCCCGCGCACCGCGCAGTACACGGGCATCGTCACGCCATGGCCGATCCTCCAGAGCCGATGGCTCTGCTCCAAGCTCGCGTTCCACCAGCGCGGCCTCGGCGGTCCAGGGGCGGGTCCCGCCGCCGCGCACGCGCCTCCTCCGCCTCGAGCCAGGGGCGGGGACCGCCGGGCCAGCCGCTTCCGCGCCGCTGCCAGGTGCCGGGCCTGCTGCTCTGGCCGCCGCGGCGCCCGTGCCGTTAGGTCGATCGCCGTCGCCGTCGGCGGCCTCAGCGGCAGCGTGCGCGGCCAGCGCAGCCACCGCCAGCGCCGCTGCCGCCGCTGCCGCCGCTGCCGCCGCTGCCGCCGCTGCCGCTGCCGCCGCCGCAACGCCGCGTTCGGCGTCGCGCCTGGCCGTGCCCGCGTCCAGGAGGGGTGGGTCACCATCTTCACTGGCCTCCCCGACGCGACGCCGCTTCGCCGTCGGCGTGGGCGGCGTCAGATCTGTCGCGTTCGAGCTCCGCCGCCGCGCACCGCCGAAGGCAGCGGGGCTGCGCCAGGCCCGCGTCCTGGCCAGCACCCCGGCCTGCAGCTCCGCGCTGCTGGGCCGCCGTCCTCGGCCGCGGCCAACCGCCAGTGGGGGGGGGAAGCGCGTGGCCCAAGGGCGTCGGGGGCCTGGCATGCGCCGCCGCCGCCGGCTGCCGAGCGCCGGCCGCGGCCGCGGCGGCGAGCCGGCCGGCCGCGGCGCCGCGGCACCGCGGGAACCGCCGAGGTGGTGCCCAGAAGTCGGGCCAGCAGGAAAGCCTGAAAGCAATCTTTTTGAAGCAGATACTTCGGGCCGGGCCACGTCGGCCTGCACGGCGGCCGCCGCCGCGGGCACGCCTGGGACGGGCGTGCCTCCCGAGGCGTCGGCGCAGGCGTCGCAGCGCCAGCGCGCGCCCTCCGGCGCGTGGGCAGCTGTGCCATGGACGAGGCATGGCCATCGGCGAAAGCCGTCGCCGCCGCTTTGGCATCGGGCTGCTGCGCGCCTGCCGCAGACAGGCTGGCAGCAGGTGGCCTCCGCTGCCGTCGCCCCGTCGCCGTCGGCCGCCGTCAGGGGGGAGTGCCCAAGCTGCGCCGCCTCCCCAATCCATCGTGGCATCGAGACGGCGATGTTGTCGGCGTCTGCAGCTCGCGCCGCGGCCTCCTCGCTCGTGGGGTGCAGCGCCGCTCCCTTGTTGGCGAAGGCATCGGCGGCCCTGCTGCGCTCGTAGTAGTCAAGGCCGGTGGCGCCGTCACGCACCGATCGGAGCGTTGCGTGCCCCTCGACCTTGGTGACGCGGACGTGCTGTGGGCCTCCGATGTCGTCCATGGATGTCTATAACTCGCGCCATATCTCCATGTAGGGCCGCTCCCACGCGCAGCACCATGCCCGACCAGCCGCGAAGCCCGTCACCACGAGCTTGCAGTCGGTCTTGACCTCGAGGACGCCGCAGTGGCCTGGCAGCGGCAGACCCTATCGCAGGGTGCGGGCTGCCGCCAAGAGCTCGCTCGCGTCGGCGTCCTGGGGCAAGTGCGCGGGGACGCATACCCGGGCGCTGTGGGCGCTGCCCCGCACCTGCAGCGCAGCGACGCCCCTGCCCGCGCGCACCTCGGCGGAGCCCGCCTTGCCGTGCAGCGCTGAGCCGTCGGCGTGGAGCGCGCCAGCGCCCGCCAGCGAGGCGTATCCGTGGCCGCTGCTCCACCGCACCTCCTCGACGGCGAGCGGCGGCGGGATGCCGTCTATTTGGGCTGGCACCAGCGCTCGCGAGTACTGTGGGTCCTCGATGTCGGACTCGGCGGCCGCGCCGGCGATCGCCTGCAGCACCGCGTTGCCTGCGATTGCGCCGCGGCGCTCGGCCGCCAGCGACAGGCACCTCCAGGCGCGGTCGCTCAGCGTGCCCTGGCCCCCGCAGCCCGCTGGGCAGGCCGCCGATCGGCGCAGCGGCGGACCGAGTCCAGCGCGGCGCGCGACGGGCCAGAGACCTCCCATCGCCGCGCGGCGCGCGCTGGGCCACGGCTCCAGCTGCGGCGCGTTCGGCTTGGCTCCCTGCATCCGCCGCGGCAGGCCGCGGACCGCGGCGCCGCCACCAGCGTGGGCAAGCCCAGGGTCTCGGGCGCCGGCCTCGCGCCACAGCCACCGCTGATGCGATCGTGGATGTGCGCGGGCATCGCGCGGCCGCGCTCCGCGCCTTCGGCGGCATCGGGCGGCCTTGAGCGGCGGCGGCCTTCGGCGGCGGCGGCCTTCGGCAGCAGCGGCATTCGGCGATGGCGGCATTTGGCGGCGGCGGCCGCCGCGGCGGCGTCAAAAAGACGATGTTGGCGACGACGACCGTCGGATGCGTTACTAATGCCCTCCTCCTCGACCTGCAGCTCAGTGCCGTCGTCGGTTCGCCACCGGTTGAGCGCCGTCGCCGTCCAGCCGAGCCGCTCGGCTGCCAGCAGCGTAGCGACTGCTGGCCCGCGCGCGGCCAGCCGAGGGTGGCTCCGCGCCAACCCTCGGCCCAATGCCATCAGCGACTTCTCGGACTGCGCGCCACGGCGCCGCCGCCAGCGCAAGACCGAGCTGCAGCGAACGGCCACGGGCGCTGGCGTCGGTGACGCTTCCCACCGTCTGCCTCCAGCGCTCGAGCTCGGCTGTGGACCACGCCTGGGCGCGACACCCGTAGGCCATCGCAGGGAGATGAGGCCGCCCGCGGCCCATGAGTGGAGGCATGGCCGTGCTGACGGACTGGCACCGGCGTCGAACGCCCGCCACCCGCTCGACCTAGTCGGGGATCTTGGCGCGCCTCTTCGCGGTTTCCTTGGCGGCGTCGCCATTCAGCCTGAAGTCTACGCCATTCAGCTCTTCGTGGCCTCGGACGGCTCGACCTGCAGACTGCTGTCGCGCAGAGCCGCCTGGACCGCCTGCCTCGCCAGTCGCTGCTCGGAGGTCAGCACCTCGCTCTTGGAGGTGGAGATCTGGCAGCCCAGCGCGCAGAGTCCAGTCGCGACCCAGGTCGCAGCGGCCACCACGTGCCGCGCGACGGCTCGCAAGGCACGCCCGAAGCAGCACACCGTCCCGTCGTCGTAGAATCGTGCACGCGGGACTTCAGCAGGCAGCCGCTGTTGGCACCGAAGTCCCAGGCGTGAGTTTTGGTGATGGGCAGCATCTAGGCCTTGAAGGCCCGTCCTGCGCAGGGGCACCCGGCCAGCAGGCCCGCTGCGATGGAGTGCGCGCCTGCGACGATCGCTCCCAGGCGGATGCGGCGTGGCCACCGATAGGTTGACATGGCGCAGCGGACCAATCTTCACGGAGCCCCGCGCGCTGTGCCAGACGCACGGCTCGGGAGAGTCACGCCGTCGCGTAGGATTTTTCGAGGTCTGGTGTTGCTTACATCGATGATAGCGATGACGGTGACGATGACGCAGACGACGACGACGATAATGGTGACGATGGCGATGACGGTGATGGTTACGATGATGATGATGATGATGATGATGATGATGATGATGATGATGATGATGATGATGATGATGATGATGATGATGATGATGACGATGATGATGATGATGATGATGATGATGATGTTTATGGGGATGATGCTGCTGCTGATGATCATGAAGATGAAGATGATGGTGATGCTGATGATGATGATGATGCTGATGATGATGATGATGATGATGATGATGATGATGAAGAGGAAAAGGAGGCGGACGAGGAGGAGGATGGTGGTGGTGGTGATGGTAATGGTGACAATGATTCTGATGATGATTATGATGATGAGATTTATGACGATGATGATGATGTGGGTGACGGCTATGACGATTATGATGGTGATGATGGATGTGGCGCTGATGACTGTGCCGATGACGATTATCATGATGCTGATGCTGATGACGATGACGATGACGATGACGACGATTATGGTGGTGGTGATGATGATAGAACCGTAGCGATGACTACGAGGACGGTGACGATGATGTTGATGCTTATGGCGATGATGATGCTAATGATACTGATGATGCTGATCTTGATGATGATGATGTTGATGATGATGATTATGACGATACTGTGGGTACTCATATGGTGCTGACGATGAGCATGGTGATGCTGTTGCTGATGATGCTGCTGATGATGATGATGATGATGACGGTGCTGGTGGCGGATGTGATGGTGATGTCGATGGCGGTGGCGGTGATGCCGATGATGAGGATGACGATGACGATGGCGATAACAATGATGAGGATACTTGTGGTTGTGGTGATGATGGTGAGGGCGCTGATGATGACGATGGTAACGCTGATGATGTGGATGACGATGACGATGAGGATGACGATGGTGATGATGATGGTATTGATGATGGTGATGTTGATGGTGATTTCGATGATGCTGATTCTGAGTATGGTGATGATGATGATGATGATGGTGATGATTATGATGATGATGATGATTATTATGAGTATGCTGATTCTGAGTATGGTGATGATGATGGTGATTATGATGGTGATGGCGATGGTGATGCTGATGATGATTATGATGGTGCTGAGTATGATGATGCTGATGATGCTGATGATGATGGTGATGATGATGGTGTCGATGATGATGCTGATGGATGATGATGATGATGATGATGATGATGATGATGATGATGATGATGATGATGATGATGATGATGATGATGATGGTGATGGTGATGGTGATGGTGATGATGATGATGATGATGCTGATTACGATTATGATGTCTTCTCGTCGTCGTCGTCGTCGTCGTCGAGCCGTCGAGCCATCGTGGTTTTCGCCTCCGCCGCCGCCGCCGCGCGCGGAGCGCCTTCGAGGCCCCCGCCGAAGGCGGTCGGCAGGGGCGCCGCGGCGGTGCCGGCGCTGTCGCCGCTCGTGGGGCCGCAGAAGGCGAGCTGCCCTCCTCCGCCCGGCCTGGCGCTCGGGTGCTGCCCGAGGCGGGAATGGATCAACATCCACCGCCCGGAGGGTCAGTTTTCCGAGCCTCGGCAGGCGGCGGATATGGACATCTTCGGGCCCCCGGGGGCCAAAATATATATCCATATCCACCGCCCGCTGGGGCACCAGGACGTCGGTTCCCGGGCGGTGGAAATGGATAAAGCCCCGCCTCGCATGCTGCGCCCTGCCGACAGGCCCCATCGGTCGAACAAGAACAACGCCATACAGGTACGTTTTTGGCGCTCCGCGCGGATTTCGTGTGTCCGTGCCGGGGCCCCCCTGGCGGCGCCTCCGGCGCCAGGGGGGTCTAGCGCAGATCCAAGAAATCCGCGCGGACCGTCAAACGTTTATGTTCAGGCGTTTTTTCTTCCTCTACACGAACCCCGAACGCTAATAGCACGAGGAAGACGTAGCCTCACCGAGGCCTCCGTCTTCGCAGCTTGGGATTACAGTTCTGGGCGGTTTGGCTCGATGCACCTGCAGGAGAGACCTTCTATATCCCTAGTGTTCATGGTCCTCTTAACTTAGGTCCCCTCCCAAAGGGTTAGGGGTCCTTTGGTCAAAGCTATGCTTATGGCGCTGTTTCTTCTTGGACCGTCGGCGCAGGGGCGCGCCGCGCACCGAGAGGCCCCCTTCCCCACCCATAGCCCCCTCGGGCCGCGGGAAGCCGTTCAAGGCCTCCCCCGGGTGGGGCCCGCGCGCCACGTTCCGCACATACGCGGGCTGATGTGTTTGCTGGGCCTGTTTTCCACCACCACCACCATAAGCTGGAGGGGGAGGGGGTTGGAGGATCCCGCCGCATCGCCGATGCATCGCCGATGCGGCTCGAGGCGGCGCCCGATTCCTCCACGCCGGCGTCGCCGATGCGTCGCCAGCGTCGCCTGGTGCATCGCCAGCCACTCCGACTCCATCTTGGAGGAGGAGGAGGAGGAGGAGGAGGAGGCGGAGGAGGAGGAGGAGGAGGAGGAGGAGGCCTCTCTGGGCATGGTTTTCGTGTTTTTTCTGGCTCGGGGAGCACCTGCCGTCGGGCGTTGCTAGAGAAGTGCCCCTGGCCAAAGTGGCCCCCAGGATATGCAAGCATCGGGGAACTGCAAGATTCGAGTGCGCCGCATTCCGGGTTTACGCATGCTTTTTGATTGGCGCGCCACGGATTTTGACGGTCCAGTTTTCGTAGGATGATTGTAGTCGGAGGTGGATAGACCTCCTACCCTGACACGTCGATTAAGGAATTGGCCGTTTTCGGTTCGCGAGAGGGCGTCGCGGCCGTCATTTCATTTTTGCGGCTCTAGGTCCGTCGGTTTCGGTCCCAGGCCGCTTTCACTAAGGGGAGGTTTACGAAAGGGAGGTTTTTCCACCGCCGATGTAGGACGACTGC